GATAAAATGCTGCTGGGCATGGGCTTGGCGCATTGACCCAAAGAAGCACCATAAACTATATACTTGAGCCCCAGTACCTGAACCCTAAACCGTTTAATGCAAGGGCCTCAGAAATAGCAGGGTTTCAGGACATGTTAGTATATTATACTCATGATCAGGAGGAACCCTAAGGAACAACAGCATTCACTGTTATTCAGAAATTCAGGCCCCGAATGTTAATCAGGAACCCTAGTCTAGTCACTCCTGAACAATGAAGGTCCTGAGCTCCTAAACCCTATAAACCTTACACCGCAAGACAAACGCAAACGGCTGAGTGCCCACGCTTCAGTAGCGCTTGCAACTCGCTGAGGGCCTTTTCCTGGAGCTTTTCCGTTTAGGGATTTAGGGGTTTTAGGGTTTAGGGTTTAAGGTTTTAGGGTTTAGGGTTTAGGGGTTTATAGGGTTTAGGGTTTAGGGGTTTAGGGTTTTAGGGTTTAGAGTTTAGGGGTTCAAGGGTTTAGGGTTTAGGGGTTTAGGGTTTAGGGTTTTGGGTTTAGGGGTTTAGGGTTTAGGGCTTTAGGGTTTAGGGGTTTGGGGGTGTAGGGTTTTAGGGTTTAGGGTTTTAGGGTTTAGGGTTTAGGGGTTTATTTAGGGTTTAGGGTTTAGGGGTTTAGGGTTTTAGGGTTTAGGGTTTAGGGTTTAGGGGTTCAAGGGTTTAGGGTTTAGGGGTTTAGGGTTTAGGGTTTTGGGTTTAGGGGTTTAGGGTTTAGGGCTTTAGGGTTTAGGGGTTTGGGGGTGTAGGGTTTTAGGGTTTAGGGGTTTGGGGGTGTAGGGGTTTACGGGTTGAGGGGTTTAGGGGTTTAGCGTTTATGGTGAACTCCAGAATGTTAGAACATGAAACAAGAATGATTGGTGCTGGGATTCGCTATACTTTGCCTTAAAGGCATGAGGACACTGATGTTCCAACTTTCTGGCGAGGGTTTATGGGTTGAGGCGCTCAAGGGTTTCACGGCCTGGGATTTTAGGTGTCAGGTTGTATAAAGATGTTTCAGGCTTCAGGGGTTCAGACCCTAAACCTTAACCTAACCTCCATACAGCTTCAGACGTCTTGTGTTTTGGCGTGTAGGGGATTGGTTTAATCTATCTCCGCCCTCAAACCCTTCTTGGTTCATAGTGTATGGCGGAGCGCTTCGGGCTAGAAAGCACTAAACCCCAAACCTAAACCCACCTTCTGGGTTTCCGAAAGGAGGGGACCCTTATGTGGTACCCTATATGGTAGGATTCTTGTTTTAAGGACCCCAAATGAAGGTACCCCTAATTTTCGGAAACTCTAAACCCCTATAGAGCCCTTTAAAGGAACCCTTATAGTACCCCTATAAGAACCCGGGACTGCAAGCTGATGCACCTCCTCGGCGCTGAGACTGCCGGCTTTCGAAGCAATGTTGGCCATCCTCTTCCGCTGGGGCCTTGCCTTTGTAGTACAAGGACCAGTACGAGGATTACTAGTAGCAATCGCAGTAGCAGGAGTAGGAGCAACAGCAGAAGCAGGAGCAGGAGCAGGAGCAGCAGCAGCAGCAGGAGCAGTAGCAGCAGCAGTAGCAGCAGCAGAAGCAGTGGCAGCAGCAGTAGCAGCAGCAGAAGCAGTGGCAGCAGCAATAGCAGCAGCAGAAGCAGTGGCAGCAGCAGTAGCAGCAGCAAGAGCAGGAGCAGGAGCAGGAGCAGGAGGCGGAGCAGGAGCAGGAGCAGGAGCAGGAGCAGGAGCAGGAGCAGGAGCAGGAGCAGGAGCAGGAGCAGGAGCAGTGGCAGCAGTAGCACGAGCAGTCGCAGCAGTAGCAGGAGCAGGAGCAGGAGCAGGGGTAGGAGCAGGGGTCGGAGTAGAAGTAGGAGTAGAGGTCGGAGCAGGAGTAGGAGCCGGAGCAGGAGCAGCAGCAGCAGCAGCAGTAGCAATAGCACAATAGCACTTGGAGTTGGAGTCAGAGTGGGAGACTTGTGGTAGTAGCAGTAGTCGTCGTCGTCGTCGTAGTCGTCGTAGCCGTAGTGGTGGTGGTACCACGACCACTGCTGGCACTACTACGACTACACACTTGGCACCTGCTATTTGCTACTACACTTCGACACCTGCCAATACTAAATACGCATGCCCATCTCCCGTAAGAACTAAAGATGGGCATGTTTATGCTTCCCTCCCACAACTCATCATACACGATACGTGCATTCCTCACTTGTCCCAGTGGTCTGTATGCTGACTGGTTTATTTCGCCTCTGACTCTTCCCTTTTGGGACTGATGACCCCTGTCGTCGCCCCAACTATTTTATCGCCTTGACCAGCGGGAACAATCTTTCTTTCCACGTCGATTCTTGTATTACGATGATGTGTCCGATCTCACCGCCATTCAACATGTCTGATAAGTGACACCGACTTTTGAACCTGACGTGTCGCTGCTAATTACTTTACAGCCGTACACACCTCAAGAGCGAATACGGAGCCCCACAGTTACAGACGTTTTTGCAACCCTACCACAAGCAAAAAAGCTCTAAACAAAAGACCAAACACCCCTAAGCCCTATCATTGAACTCGGCGAGGAAGCCCACCAAAAGGAACAGTAATCTACGAAACTACATGCCGCTACACTACAAGCCTTTCCCCCCACACCCCCCCATCACAGAGCCGTGCCTCTGCTCAGCAGCACAAGGCTTCCAGAGGATTCGGGTCACGAAACCAATTTCAGGGGTCTGATGTAGAGTTAGTTGTATGGGGTCCTACAAGGTTCGTACTCATTCCTGGGAGGGCAATACATAAAGATCATACTGCCCGGGGTATCTCATCGAGGATTCTTCCTGTCAGGCTGAGACTTCGGGCTTGGGGTGTTAAGCTGGGTTAAGCTGATGTCCTTATAACTTATGGAGACGGATAGCCTCCGAACTCCAGCAACTCTGGCTCTAACGAACTAGAGCTCGTCTTGCTGTTCCTAAGGTAGGCGCAAGTTGTAGCCACGACATGTGCTGCGAGGCTTGGGCAATACTACAATTAATACTAATACTTATAGTAATATTAATACTAATACTAATACTAATACTAATACTAATAAGATGCGCCAGAGAACGGACGCAAACCGCGAAGCTCGCATGCACAGAGAAGCAGCATATCCGAAGCCCTAGGATTGGGGCCCCCGAGATGATTTGTTTTCATGACTTGCTCATAGTTCTCTGGCAGTTGTGTCGTGGGCCTCAGAGACTCTAAACTCTCAGAGTTGATGTAGGAACATCTCCGTTAATGTCGGGGGGGTTCTGAAGAAGGAATCCCCAACTTCGGGGATATGCAGGACTCGCCGACTTCCAAGGAGATAACACGAAGTCTGAAGAATTCGTAGTACGATCACTTCACCATCCCTATGCACACGACAGTACACACTACCAAACTCTAGACCCTGGCCCCGGACATAGTCGACAGTGTATGAACTCCCTGCGCGGCTGCTTCGGGAGGATCCTAAACCCTGAACCCCGCAAACCCCAAGCCACTTCGGAAACAAACCTCTCGTGCCTAAAGAAAGCCTGAGCTCTACATGCCAAGGTGTGCCAGGGTTCAGGACCTAGGGCTCAGCATAGTGCGCCAACCCTCCTACATTTGAGATAAAGCTTTGCACTCCATTCGTATTACTATATTGGCCCTTTAAAGCCTGTCCCATTAAGCCAATAAGGGAAAATATAAAATGCCCAAAGGCCTACCTACCTAGATGAGTTCCGCCATCAGCAGCGGCTTAACAATGCCGCGTCTTGGGGGCTAAGGGCTGCAAGATGTGTTTGATTAGGGTCTTAGGGTTGAGAGTTTGATTAGACTCTCACTGTGTGAGCTCAACACTAAACCCAAAACCTCTAAACTCTATGATTTTGCGATGCTGCTTGGTGAGACTTGGTCCAGGAAACAGCGACATTTCGCCACGCTTCCCGCAACTCGATTAGACATGAAGAGGGCTCTCCAAAAACCTGAGAGTTTAGGGTTGGGGTCTCAGGGCTTACGCGTTTGGGGTTGTAGGGTGCTCGATGGTGTTCGGGTTTTGAGGTTTGGGGTTGTTGGTGAATTCAGGGTTCCTACTTTGCCTGGATGTCTCCTGCAAGAGGTGCAGGAGGTGAGATTTGGGAGCTTCCGAAAATAGTGGATCCTAACATAGTACCCTAAAAAGTAGGATCCCTATTATAAGGACCCCAAAGTAAGGTACCCCTAATTGTCGGAAACTCCCATTTACTCGTGCATTCCTCGGTGCTCTGCTTCTCCATGGACCTGGCTGAGAGCTTTCAGAAAAGGTCTCCGCCTCCTGCGACCCTTACATCCGAAGCCGCCGAGCACCCAACGGCTTTTCATCGTATGTATCTATGTGTGGCTCTTTGTTTGTATGTCGGTATGTACCTGTAGTCTCCATTGTAGTTCCTTTTTGAGGTTACCTTATAGGACCCTTGTGTATTTACATTGAAAATACATTCCTAGCAAATCAACAGTTATAAAAGAGGACCAAAGCGCCGAAATGAAAATTGGAGCTCCGAGAACGCAACCTTGATCTGGCTTCTGTTTAAAGGGAACTCCAGAAAGTTGGAATATGGATTAATGGTAGGATCCCCTATAATTTACCTTAAAGGGGTTACGATAGTGATATCCCAACTTTCTGGCTTCTACTGTAAGGCAACAACAAGCAAACCATATCCTGGACCATAGACCCCTTTTGTGGTAACTTAAAATAAACCTCTGACAAGAACCCCGTATTTTTTACAACATGGGTCATTCTTATAGCCCCAAACCCTTAAACTCTAAACCCAACCCCTACACCCTAAACCCTTAAACCTTTAAGCCCTAAACCCCAAACCCCTAACCCCTAAACCACTAAACCCCAAACCCCTAAACCACTAAACCCCAAACCCCTAAGCCCGGCCTGGATGCTTACTTCGCCTTAACAAGGAAGCAAAAATTCTTACAATGTGGGCAATTATTATAGCCCTAAAATCTAAACCCCTAAGCCCGGCCTGGATGCTTACTTCAGCATCTTGGCGGTCCGGGTCTCGAGCTCCTGCCTTGCACGAACGGCCAGTTTTTGGGGTGGGGGGGCGGGTTTGGAGGTTCATGGGAAGCTATATAAGGGTTCCTTTCAGGGCCCCTTTAAAGGGATCTATAAGGGCAGAGGGCTTAACTTGCAGGTTCATGGGTAGCTGTAAGTAGGGTAAAAGTAGGGCTTCAAGTTTGAGGATTTAGGGTTTGGGGGCGTAGAGGTTGTAGAAGGCTTTGGGGCTTGGGGTTTGGAGCTTACATAAGGTGTAGCACTCCAGGTTCTAAGACTAAGATTCAGGGTTCGGTGTGTAGGGTCATCAGTTTAGGTACAAGGTAGAGCGTATCAGTTTTTCTTCAAACTCAAACTTAGATCCATGGCTCAGGTTTTTCAGGCTCAGGGCTCAGCCGAAGTTTCAAGCTTCGGACTGAAGGGTTCAGCGTTTCGGGGAGGGATATCGCGCACACGCACACACACAGACACACAGACACACAGACACACAGACACACACACACACGCGCGCGCCTCACGTACTTCACAAAGGAGGTCTTGTCGACTTCTGACAGCTGAGACCAGGGTCTCGATCGAAGCTCCTCCTGCCCGCGCTGGGTTGTTGTTGTCGGATGAAGACAAAGACAGCTAAATATCAAATACTCATGCTCTGTTATAAAAACAGGTTTTGGGAGTTATGGCTTAGAGTTCAGGGTAGGCGGTAGGCCGTGATCATTACCTCTGCACAGGGGCATTACCCAAAATGTAAGCGTACTGCACTCACGCATCCGTCTATCGCATAGAGCCTTGCAGCCCGTCGAAAACTCCGAAAAAGCTCAAACTCTGATGGGAGGCCAAAAGGGGGGTTTAAGATTCCTGGGGTAGGGATTCCTGAATATGAACCCTATCTTGGGAACCCTAATCCCTACTAAACCCCCATAGGCTAAAACCCCTATTAAAAAAACCGACAAAGCTCAAAATCGCAAAACCCTAAACCCTAAACCCCTAAACCCCTAAACTCCTAAACCCTAAACCCCCAAACCCCTAAACCCCTAACCCCTAAACCCCCAAACCCCTAAATCCCTAGACCCTAGACCCTAAATGGTATCCCCACGCCTCGCTGAGATCGCTGCAGTTTACTGCCTCGCAGGGGTCGCCAGTCAGGGACTTGCACTATTCATAGAAACCCTCAGCGGGGATCCAAAAAGTAGATCCCTTAATGGGGGTTCCTATAAAGTACCCTTAGTAACTTAGTAGTATGGGGCGCCAAATTAGGGGATCTACTTATTCTAGATCCTCCCGGAATTCTGGTGTAGGGACCCTTAAGGGGGGTAGGGGAGGGGGGTAGGGGGCCTTAATACCTATAATAAGGGCTTATTTGAGGAAGTATAGTCCCCCTTCCCCCTCCCCCTACCCCCCTAAATGTCCCTGTGACTATGTACTCGAACCCTTGGACTGTCAAAATCGTCATGCGGCTTCCTACCTTCAAAGTCTCCATGACTTTGGATGCCGCGATCATCCCCACCTCGGAGGCACATCAGACGTATCCTACGACATGTGGGTTCCTGCAAGGAACCTGATGGAGTCAACGCAGGTGAAGAGAGCTGAAAGAGGACCCTGATCTCGGAAAGTCTCCACGCGTCACTCTTGCCATTGTGCCAATGCAGCAAATTCAGCCCGCCTTGTCATAGTCCCACATGTCGAACATGGTCTCTATGTCCTGGTCTTCCAGCGGTTGACTGCAAGCTGTCATTAGTTTCATTACTCGTTGTCGCTGCCTCAACGGTGAAGAGCTCCATCGATGGGGATTCTCTCTGCGCCTGCATCGTTGCAAGGCCCCTTCAGTCTGAGTTGCTGTCTGGCAGTGCACGGCGCCTTCAGATCCCGCAGGGATTCTATGAGGAAGTTGCGCAGGTCCTGCAGCTTCATGCATGTCTGCCCCCAACAAGAACGCCAAGCCCCACTGCAACCATGCGGGCCCTAAACTCCGAACCTGAAAGACCTGAACCCTCAAACCCAAGCCCTGAGCTCCAAAACGTCAGCTCTCACAACTGAAATCGATAATCCCAAAACCTGAACGCTGCAACCCATCACCCATAAACCCTCAACCCGTACGGCACCCTCACCCGTGAGACCCCAAACCCCCTATCCCCAAACCAGGTGCCCGAAACGATATTTGTAGAACCCTTAAAGGAACTCTTACAGCAATTCTTAAAGATGCCCCTCAAGGCTTAAAGGAACTCATCTAGCAACCCATCATACTATCAATATGATAAGGAACACCAAAACTACATTGGTAATTCTTAAGGCCCCTGAAACCGGCTCCACAATGTAGGGGCCTTACGTAACAATTAGAATAGGGACCTTAGAGTAACCCTTCAAGGAACCCGTATCTGGAACCGACATTCAGCCCCCTGTTCTATACTGAACTTAGAATCCTAGCAAAAATTAGAATTTTAGCTGTTTCTTATAGGGGTTATAATAACCAAAAACTAAAAATATTTCTAAGTACCCCTAAGTGTTCACCCACCGGTCCGGCGGTCGCTCAAGCACGGCGCGGGCAAGAAGGCTCCTAGGATGGCTTTCAGGATTAGGGTTAAACCCTAAAGCCTAAACCCCTAAACCCTAAACCCAAAACCCCAAACCGTATGGCTTTCAGGATTAGGTTTCAAGCCGTAAAGGGAGCCCGATTATATAACCCCACAGTACCCTTAAAGGGAGCCCGAAAAAGAAACCCAACAGTATCCCTTAATGCCTAAAGCCCCAAACCCCGAATCCCTAAACTCGACACCCCTGGCGTAGAGTTTAGGGAACTCTTGTGCCTGGGGCCTGGTGATCGATGCTCCCATACAAGTCCTCAGCAAGGCGCCTAAACCGAAGCCCTACCTCCGCAACCGGTGTAGAGTTTAGGGCTTAGGGTGTAGGGTAGTATAGTAACCTATGTATAGCAACTGTTACAGTAGCCCGTACCTTCTAGGATAGCAACCCCTATAGTAGCGCTTTTAGTATAGTAACCCGTATAGTAACCCTTACCCTAACCCTCATGGAACCCTTGAGAAAACCCCCTCAGGCTCGCTGGGTTCGGACTCTCTCCGGGGACCCGGCTCGAGCAGCTTTGGGATGGAGTTCTTCTCCAGATACTCGCGGGCCTCTCTCCGACCGGCGACGTGAACAACAGGTGCATCAAACATAAATGACACATAAAGGAAACATGAAGAATGAACAAATGATCACACGTGTATATATATATATATATGTAGACGTGGTGTGCATGTAGTGTGTGGACACAAGTGTTGTTCAGCCTTGGCGAAAAGCAGCCACAGCAAGAAATAAGGATCGACAATCTAACAGCTTGGAAGTTCTCCACCAAGGGTTCATTGCATGTCATTGCAACGTCTGAACACGGGTTCTTGGTCGTTAGCTTCAGGTTTAGATTTCATTTCGATAGCGTCTTGACGAATTGAATGGCACCGCATTTCGCTGCTACACCGAAGGTCATCAATCCAAATCCGAACCCCCAGGTTCGACTGGGTGGGCTTGAGGGCATGGGAGCTCGAGTCTCAAAACTCAGTCAGGTTTGGGAGTTTGGGATTCTGAGATGAGGGTCCGGAAGATCACGTTTTGAGAGGCACTCCCCAGCTCCCCCAAATTTCCCCCACCCAATAAGCCCCTGCTAAAGCCCTGATACAACTCTTATGTCGACCATGTAACAACCTCTAAGCGCCCAAGTTCCCCCCAGCCCCCACACCGCCCCCGGCTTCGTGACTAAGGACCTTTGCACTGGTTTTGTCGCCTTTCAATATACTGTCAGAAGGAGGTTTCTCTAGTGGGCTTAAAAGTCTGAATAGGTCTGGGGGGATCTTATATAGTAGAACTCAGATAAAGGAACTGTAAGAGTTCTGACCCCTGTAGCTGCCACTCTGGTGATAGGTGAAGGATTCAACACGCAGCGCTCGTGCTCCAGGGTCTGAGGTTTAGGGTTCAGGGTTTAGGATTTTAGGAGGAGCTGGCTTTTGGAAGGGTATGGGCTGTGTGCGTGGCTAATTACTGAACCTGCAACATGCGTCCTTTGCCACATTCTAATTAACACACTAGCCTTTGTTTGTCATGCTATGTCTATGGGCAGCTTGACGTCGTGCTGTCCTGTTCAAACTTTCTGGAATTGTGTCTGAAAGACTTACTTGATGAGACTCCACGCCACTTCAGTCTACAAGAGATTTGCTGTGGTCTTCTAGACTCTAGTCTCAACTATCCGCACCTTGCCATACTTTCTTTCGCCAAGCAATGGTTAAGCCCTGAACGCGACCAACAACAAAAAACCTAAGCCCTGCAAACAAGTTGACAAACCTTGTCATGTTTCGTATCCCTGCAGATTCATCAGCACCATGCAGATGCATCAAACCTGAATAACCCTCCATGACCATAAGGATTCTGAGTGAAGAGCATACAGACTCGTTCTGTAGCTTTGCCTACGATGAGAAAGCGCTGCCTGCTGAAGATTGACATAGTGGCTGTCGTCCTGCGTCGGTCTGATGGGGAGCGTCAGTATGTGCGTGCGCCTCTTTGGAAGAGCGAGAGCGACAGAGCATGAGAGACAGAGAGATAACATGTGTGTGTGTGTGAAACAATGCATCCGTGTGAGGGTGTGAGAGCTGGTGAGGATGCATGCATGCTAGCATGGCTGGGGACAAGCTCACGGCACTATCTGCAAGGGGAAAAGTTGAACATCACCAGCTCCAGTGTAGTAACGGTAGCAACAATCACAACAATGACGACAATACTGCTAAGATGCAACGTTTCCGTCCATCGATAGATTTATGCGCCGGCAGCCTGTGACGGGGTTGGACACCACAGTTGCATGAACTATGAACAGATAAAAGCTGACATACACACATACATGCTGACACCGAAAAAGAAGCATCTGCATAACAGCACATACAAAAGCGGACTTATATCAGTCTAGGCATGTCTGAGTGTGTTGCCCGGTTGCATTCAATTAGATAGACTTGCAGAGAGACAGACAGGAAGGTAGACAGATAGATAGATTACAGGCAACTGGGTCAAGTGGTAGACAGATTGGTAGGCAGGTTGACGATCAAGTACATGCATAAACGGCATATGTGCATGACATAACTCTCTAGCGACATGTGTCTCCCTCGCATCTTGATTTCCCATGCAGTTTAATCTACAAGTGTAGCAAAATGTATCTATGCAGATCGCACTGCAAGCACTGTAGCGCACGTCGTGATTTCTCGTCTTCCCTTTGTGCTGCAGTATAGTCGCTGAATATTTGGTCAAGTCCACCATCTCCACATTTTAACGTAAACTCTAAACCTAACGGCGAAACTCTGAGCTTCGTGAAAATACGCTTCTGAGGAGAGATATCTACGCTGCACATGGTCAGGTCCTTTGCAGAACGATACAAGACGAAGAAATGCAAAACCACTGAAACCGCCATCGAACCCCAGTCAGTCACCTCAACCCTTAAGCCGCCATAGGGCCCCAGTCACCTAAACCCTAAACCCTTAAAGCCTAAACCGTAAAACCACCATGGGGGCCACAGTCCTCCATCCTCGCTTACATTTCCGGGCCCCGCTCGATTGCAGACGGCTGCAAGAAACCCTTTTTCTACAGGGCAGAGTCACCCATGAACACTTAAGGTTTAGAGTTTAGGGTTGTAAGTAGGATAACTCTAGTTATGACCCATATATTAAGGGACTTAGAACCCCACTTAAAACTACTCCATGCACCCAATGAGGGCTTAGGGCGTTAGGGTTTAGGGGCTTGGGGTTTAGGGGGTATTTAGGGGCTTTGGGTTCATGGGCTTAGCGGTTTGGGGTCCCGGGGGTTTAGGGTCAAGAGCTTAACGTATCATTGTGGCCTTAGGGCTATAAGGATTTCAGCTTGCGGGGTGTAGGGCACTTGCATTTCATCCCCATGGGAGGTAGACTTCGAGCTCTCCTTTTCGAGCGCAGGCTGCGTCCGCCTGGCGTCCATCAGTGAAACCATGCTGGAGCTGTTTCAAACCACCGTCCAGGTAAACTCCACGGCCACCGCCAACTCCAGGGAAATGGGTGTCTTCTCAGGAATCATATGCTCAGAACAACTCCCATTGGGAAAACTTGGAGCTGCGCCCATGCCAGCCTTGTCTGAAACGAAGCGATTTTGAGCTTGAACAGGTTTGGGCCTGACATTGGGGCCGAAAAAACTAGAATAGCGTTTTGGGGGGGCCATTACACGAAAAAATACAATGAGGAACCCTCAGGAATGCTGTAGATAACGATTCGGGATTCTACATTAATTTTGGAGTCGTCTTTCTGCTCCACAAACCCACAAAACGGACAGCCTCTGCGAGACCGCTGGCAACGAGCTGAACCCTTCAAAATGCCTACTCTCCCCATGGGGGTGAAACACTTGGCTCCATGTTCCGGTAGTTCAGAACCTGGAGCCTTGCATAAGCAGATGCTAATTTTGTACATGCCTACCTCTGGGCGGGCTTGAATTGAGGCCTCCACACTCTCACCGATGTGAGATTGCCAAGCCACCTAGCTAAAACGTCGAGGCTCACCTAAAACGTGCGCTTTGCCTTCTTGCTCATTTTGCCCGTGTTTGCTGGAGTGCGCGGGCTCAAGCCGTACCTGAAATTCCACGGAAGCTTGGGGTTTGGATGTAGAGGTTTGGTGGTAGAAGTTAGGTTTAGGGAAGCACTCATGCTAGCTGCGGTCAAGTTTCATTCCACGAACACCGCTCGTCACTGCCATGTGACCGTTTCGAGCCGCGTCTGCAGCACCTGCGACCAGGGTTTGCTCAAGGCAACGTTCAAAATGACAAAGCGTCGTTGACGGTGAAACGCAAAAAGGAAAGCCCAAATGCCACATTAGCGCGATCTTCAGCAGATACACCGGAAACATCTTGCCTCCCGCGTTGGTATACGATAGCCGCTCCCACTCACCGGTCGTATCTGCACTGACCTCGATCAAGGCTCAGTCAAGATCGCCACAGCCACAGAAGAGCCGTTCAAGAGCTTCAAACATGTCGAACTCAACATAGACCCTGAATAGTAGGATCCTGATTCTCAGAACCCCTGAAAACCAAATGGGAGTTTCCGACAATAGGGGACCCTAACATGGTACTTTGAATAGTAGGACCCCTGTTATAAGGACCCCAAACATAAGGTACCCCCATGTTCGGAAACTCCCAAATTGTAAGAAGCCCCCATGGGTGAGCGAAATGCTATCGGCCGGAGGAAGCTCCAGATGAGAGCGGCCCCTCTCTGTTTAGCAAGCCTAGTTGCAATCCCAGAAGCTGTGATACTGACGAGTGAAGACAATAAGAATACCGGGGTAATACCGGTTCATGTAATGACGACCACTTTACTTCGTGCAGCCAGCAAAAGCATCAGATTTTCAGAAAGCCTCAGATCTACTCTCTAAACCATCGCCCACCTAAGAACACTGCGCCCCGAAGAGCTACATCTAAAACCACCCAAACCAAAACCCTCGAACCTTGCACCCCTACCTTAAAATCCCAAACCCTACTTTTTTTGTGCGCTCTTATTATAAACCCTAATCTGGAATTTATAGGGACCCTGCAAAAAAGTAGGTTTTGGTAGCTTAAGGTAAACCCTCAACTCCTGTACCCCGAACCCCTTAAACCCTAAACCCTAAACCCTAAACCCTAAACCCCTTAACTAAATAAGCAGGAGCCCGGCTCCGGACCTCAGGGTTCGGGCTCTTAGGGCGGAGGATCCCTGGGCGTGTAGAGTTCCTTTAAAGGCATCTACCTTAACCTACCGAAACCTAGGTTTTTGTAGGGTCCCTGTAAATTCCATATCAGGGTCTTTAATAGGAACCTACAAAAGATAGGGTTTGGTAGTTTAAGGTATAGGGGTTCCTATAAGGGCTCCTAGAAGGGATCTATAAGGCCTGAAAACCCCTGCATCTCTGCAACCTGAGACCCCTAAACCTCTACACCGCCGAAAAGCCTGAGACTTCCAAACCCATGATGTGGAGGAAATGCAAGCGCCTAAGAAAAACCCTGAAGCCTGAACCCCAAAATCCTAAAGAATAAACTGGTCCTAAACCCGAAACCCATCTCTGAGAGCAGGGCCGGGAGTGGGGGACGGTTGGGATTCCAAGGCGCCTTGGCGGCTGGAAGTCTAGGAATTCTTGGATTTTAAACAGGGTAGACGGATGTAGATTGGGGGTTCAGGGTCTTGGGGTTTAGGGTTGAGGGTTTCCGGGTTTAGGGGTTCAGTTTTTTATGCAACCAGCTACTGCGGACCATCCGCGTGAGATATGGATTTCGGCGTTTGGGCTTTTGGCGTCTTCGAAGGGTTTTGAGGATTTCAGAGCTGGGCTGTAGGTTCTCTACTTGGCGGTTCATGGGTAGTTATAAGTCGGGTTATAAGTCCGCTAATATGGGCTATAAGTCTAGTTACCTTACTTATAACCGAACTCTATAACTACCCATGAACCTCCAAGTAGGCCCTAAACCCTATACCCTTATCGAATCCCTATAGATCCCTTTAAAGGGACCCTGAAAGGAGCCCTACTTATAACTACCCATGAACCTCCAAGTAGGGATTACAGCTTCGAGGGTTTAATTACGCATGTGGGTTCAGGGTTTTGGATGCAGGGTCCAGGGATGCAGGTTTAGGGTTCTTTTTTAGGGTTGAGGGTTAGGGTTTAGGGTTAGGGTTTAGGGTTTAGGGTTTAGGGTTTAGGGCTCCTGGTTTAGTTTTCAAGGTCCTCCATGTAGGTGGCGGGCCATGATTCCGCAGCATCCTGTTTGCAAGCCCTGCAAGCTGCGTATGGTGCCACAAGTGGTTGGTTTACGAATTTGGTACTAGGGCCCAAAGTTCAAGTTGAGGGTGAAGGCTCCTAGTCAGTTTTAATCATAATAATGGCAATATCCATATATACATATGTATTTTTAGATATTAACATATGAAAAAAATATCCTCAAACCCTGAACCCACAGACCCAAGGCTTCCTTTGAGAACCCGCCGTCCTCCCCAGCTGTTTCCTGAAACTCGAAAGCCTTGGGTCCAAGCCAGGTGCGTGCTTTCCTCTGACCTGCATGCGATCTTCTCCAGCTGGTCCTGAAGCTCGCGCTCGGGTCCAGGGTGTAGAGTTTAGGGTTTAGGGTTTGGGGTTTAGGGTTTGGGGTTTGGGGTTTAAGGTTTACGGTTTAGGTTAGGGTGTAGAGTTTACGATTTAGGGTCTAGGGGTCAGTATTTGCAATGACGCCGGTCACTCTAAACGCGAGCAGTCTGCTGATTTTTCGTTCTGAGTACTACTATGACGATTCCTCTGGGCCATAATGAGTCTTCTTACCATTGACAACTACTATTCGTGTATTTAATATTAAATGATCACGAGTGACATTATAGACACTAGTGTCGAGTAACACCGGTAGCAGCAGTGGTAGCAGTTGCCGCCGTCGTCGTAGTAGTCGTCGTAGTAGTCGTTAGAGAGGTGGAAGAAGTAGTAGAAGAAGTAGGAGGAGGAGGAGGAGGAGGACGCGGAGGAGGAAGAGCTTGTTGTTGTTGATGTCGTTGTAGATGGCGCAGTGCTTTAGGGTTAAATTAGGAGCTAACTTTCGTGCTGGCAGGTTGGGCTCGGGGTTCGGATATTGAGCATCACGTTTTACAACTTTACGGTTAGGAGCTGTAGGGCTTTTAGGGTTGACGGTTCAGGGCATCCGGGCGTGCTGAGTTTAGGCTTCAGTTTCGGGATAATGCTCTAGAGCTTTTTAGTTTCGTCTTCTAGTGTGAAGTTGGGGAACTTGAATTCGGACTCTAAACATGGCTAACCCTACGCCTAAAGCCTGAAACGGTGGACCAGATCAACGGCGCTGTGCGTGGCTCCAGCACGCTGTTCAGCCGGATGTTGGGGTCAAGGTCATCCGGCCTCGGACGAGTTAGGGCCAGGGTTTAGGGCTTAAGGCTCCAATTGTGCAGAAGCTTCGGCAAATACAATCGGGGCTTGGGGTGTGGGGATTGGAATCAGGTGTTGGAGGTTGGGGTCGTCGGGTTTAAGGGTTGCGAATTTCACATTTGTGTCAAATGGAGTTCTGGGCTGAGGACCTGCAGCCTAAACCATCGTGTTTGGCTTGGTGCTGCAACCTTAGGGCACAGGGTAGCTGTCCTAGATGTATCTGGTCGTGAGTCTTTTACAAGTGTGGTTGTGCTTCAGGCTGCTTCGTGCCGGGGTTAACAATTGCAATAAGCGCAACACACAGGGTGTTCAGGGTTGAGGGCGTAGGATGTAGGGTTCAGGCATTTTCTTCAGGGAAGCCCAGATGCAACCTGTTTTTTACGCTGTCAGGCAGCATGGCCCTTGGAATGAGACCCCGCAAACAGAAGGCTCTTGTAATAAAATGCTTCTAGTTGGGTCGATAGGGGTCCCTTGACCTTAAAACCTAAACTTCAAATTCTGAAGTTGCAGTTGCAGATGTTCCTGCAGCAGTAGTCGTACTTGTTGTTCCTGTTGTTGCTCTTGCTTCTCTTGTTGCTCTTGCTGCTGTTGTACAACAACTTTATTCAGGGCAACCCTTACCCTACACCC